AGCCTGTCCCTCAGAACCCTGGGGGGTGAGAGGAGCGCTAGGTGGGGAAGGACCGAAACGTGGAGTCGTCTGTTACCCAGCAGTCGGAACTGGTGCTCAGCGTCCAGGGGGCAAGACACAGCGTGAGCCAGAAGGAAACAAACCGACAAGAAGCCCCCAGAAGCCATCAGGAAAGCCTGGAGATTCTGATGACACGAAAACTAAAATCCCCTGTGTGACCAAGCACAACCCGCAAACCGCACAGTCAAGAGACAAGTGATAACATGGGGAAAAAATAGTAGCAAGAGGTGACTAAGGGCTCGCGTCAGTCTCTCACACACACACACACACACACACACACACACAGAGCTGGACACACGGACAAGGCAAAGTGCAAGGACAAGAGAGCAAAAGGGGGCGGAGGAGAGGAAGGGAGAGGGAAGGAAGCGTCTTCTCCACCGGGACGCAATTCCTTGGGAGTCCGTCTGACCCCAGGGCAAAGGGATGCTGGGTCGCCAGAGCCGCCGAGGAGACTGGAAGTCCCGCCAGGCCTCGGAGCCCAGCAAAGAGGAACCCGGGCGGACGGGTCAAACCCAGCGGCCGGCTCCGGGGGTGGGTGGTGGCGCTGTGGGGAGCCGCCTGAGCAGCATCACCAGCAGCTGGGAACCCTCCCGGTGCGGGAAGGTTGGCGGGTAAGGCGGGTCTTCCCTGGACACACACTGGGCTGGACCCAGCGGTCCCACGGGTGCTGGAACCAGCCCTGCGGGTGTTCCCAGCCAGGCACCCTCCCGCGGGAAGACCGGTTGAAGGGATGGCTCCTGTTGGCACCCACGTCGAGGGAAGCCACCGTCTTCTCTGCGGGGCTCACCTTTCCTACCTCCCCCAGGAGACAGGCCAGGAAGCGCCCCAGCCCACGACCGCCCGCAGCAGAGCAGGATTCCCTCCCCGGCGGCCACCGCTGTCAAGGGACGGGCAAGACTCTGTTACCCCACCGCGCGCCACCGCGGAACGCTGCACAGACACCTCCAGACGCCGCTTCCCCCAGGACGCCCGCCCGCCCGCTCTGCCCACCTATCCCTGGACGCTGCCGGGTGGACGGGTGGGGACGGCTCTGCTTCCCCACGACTCCCCAGACGCGCCCCGAAGCACTTTCGGAGCACAGTGGAGTGGGAAGGGCGGGGCGGCCCCTCGACGGCGCCCAGGCGAGAGCGGCTCACGGGGCTTCCCGGGCCCTGATCTCGGGGGACGCCTGTCCGCCTCGTCCCCGGGGGAGGACAGTGACCGCCGGTCTGCACGGGAAGGGGACTCGGCGCATGCCCCGCAGGGCCGGCCCAGGACTGGGAGGCTCGGAAGGCGATGCCGAGGCGGCGGCGGCGGCGGCGGCGGCGGCGGGGTGGG